CCTCAGAATCATCAGTCTGTGTTAGTTTAAACTTGTTTGGATCCGAGTGTGAGACCCACAACTGAACGTAGGCATCACAAGAGCCAAACAAATCGACTTTTGGCAGGTAGGTGCATTTCACAACAGTGACTTTGAGTAAATGTTGCATTTTTTAAAGTTTTGTCGTGCTTTTAAGTTGTGTTTGCGTGTGAAAATGTTGTCTAAACGAATTCTTATTTTGGAAGCAACACTTTTATGGAAGATTAGTTTGGGCCTCTTCACTTATTTTAATTACAAAACAATAAAAAAATTCCAAGATTGCAAATGCATCAGGCAAAAATGGGTAAATTTTTTATTAGCATGGACAATACACAAGGGAAAACTAATGTGAAAGTTCGCAAACAATCTTCTTTGAAATAGTTTTCAATAGTTGAGCGTACTTATTACTAAACGAAAGTAATACTGTGGAAATTGGTGGTTAATCATCTTTGATTCATAGATGAAAAATTCAAAAACCGAATCACAAATTTGTGTATATTGAATTTTGTAATCAATCCTTCTAACGTTGTCTCAATAATCTTCTCAATATTTTGCCACTCGAAGATTTTGGAATTTCTTTTACGAATTCAACCAACCTTACTCTTCTTTGTGGAGAGACATGCTCTGCCACGAAATTCATGACCTCATCCTCTGAGAGAGTTTCATTTGGTCTCATAACTACAAATGCCTTTGGTAATTCACCCACAGTTTCGTCCTGTATACCAATTACAGCAGCATCCAGAATTTTAGGATGTTTCAGTAGGATTCCTTCTAGTTCAGCAGGAGGTACTTGATATCCATTATATTTGATCAATTCCTTAACTCTATCCACAATGTATAAGAATCCATCACTATCAATATATCCCACATCTCCTGTATGAATAAAGCCATTTCTTAAAGTATATTTTGTTGCTTCCTCATTATTTAAATACCCTTTCATCATTTGTGGTCCACTAAAACATAATTCACCTTGTTTTCCAACTTGTGTAATTTCTTCTTCTGTTTCCAAATCGAGTATTTTCAAATCGGTGAGTGGAAGTAACAATCCAACAGATCCAACCTTTACATTATCATCAGGACATACTGAATTAATTGTAATCACAAGCTCAATAAAAACCTACCACAACAAACTGGTCCTGTTTCAGTAAGTCCATATCCCTGTTTTACAATAACATTCAATCTCTTACTGACCATACTTGCAACCTCTGCAGATAATGGAGCAGCTGCAGACACGAGTGTCTTGATTGAGGTGAGATTATACTTTTCAATCAATGGGTGCTTGGCGAGAGCAATCATTATTGGTGGAACAAGGTGAATTCTAGTCACTTGATGAGTTTGAATATTCCTCAAAAACGTTTCCAAATCAAATCTTGCCATTGTTACAACCTTGGCTCCCTCATAGAGAGCTGCATTGCAAATAAGAGTCAATCCATAAATATGAAAGAATGGCAACACAGCAATAGTACAATCCCCAGAGGAAATCTTCTCTACTGAACATCTGAATTGTAAAATATTACTGAGTGTATTGAAATGAGTCAAACAAACTCCCTTGCATAAGCCAACAGTTCCAGAACTGTATGGAACTGCAAAAACATCTTCCTTTGTATTGAATGAAACAGTATTGATCATTTCTGTTCTGACAGATTCTTTCAATAATGTTTCTTCCACTTTTAACACATTTTCCACAATCTCATCCTTCAAGTCCAATACAAATAATTGTTTAACTTTCGTATTTTCAATGCTTTTTTGGGCCTTTTCAAGAAAATCCTTTGAAGTGATCATCATGATGGCCCCACTATCAGCCAACTGACTTTGAATCTCTTCATAACTGTACAATGGATTCAAGGTTGTCACAATTCCTCCGACATAACTAATTCCGTGGAAGAGAACAGGGAAAAGTGGAAGATTTGGTAACATGACAGCAATCATGTCATTCTTTTTCAAATGGTATTCATCATGAAGATTATTTCCCACTCTAATGATCAGGGAAGCAAGTTGAGAATGTTAATGTGGAATATTGATTCTTGTTATCTTCCGATACTGATCCATCAACGAGAGCAATACGATCACCATGTTCTTTACATTTTTCAATAATGATGTGAGAGATTGGTGTATTTTCTATCAACTCGCAGGGTGGAAAGGTAGATGTAAAGACCATTTTTTCTTTGATTTGTTTGCAATTTTGACATTTGACTTGATGACATTCTCATTCTAAGGACTCAGGATAGAATTGATCTTGTATCTCGAAATAGGAAAGTTGATTTTCAAATAATAAGAATGACTTTATATTTCTCAAATATTTACACACATAGGACTACTCTACAATTAATAAACTGCTTAAACATCAATGATCATCTTTCCGACCTTATCTCCTGTAAAGAGTTTGATCAAAGCTTTTGGAATATTTTCCAGTCCTGCTACCTTACTCTCCAAAACTTTCAACTTTCCTTCAAGGACCCATTTCGTCATGGCTTTGACTCCTTCATCCAATCTATGGTAGAAGGATCCAACAATGAAACCTTGAATCTTTAATTCTCTGACTACGTAGACAGAGTTTAATCTTGGTCCCAAATCCTTTTGTCCATTGTATTCACTAATTGATCCACAACAAGAAATTCTTCCGTATCTGTTCATGGACAAGGTTACTGCATCCAAGACAAATCCACCAACATTATCAAAGTAGCAATCAACTCCAGTCTTTGGAAGAGCTGCCTTTTCAATAGCTTCCTTTAAGGCATTTGTATCGTTATTGAAATCCTTATAATTGATAATTTCGTCGAAACCTAAATCCTTGAGATGTTGAACATTTTCAGTGGATCCAGAAATACCAATAACCTTGCATCCCTTAATCTTGGCAAGTTGACCAACAAGTGAACCAACAGCTCCAGAAGCAGCTGAAACAACTACAACTTCACCTTCCTTTGGTTGACAAATATCCAAGAATCCAAAATAAGCAGTCATTCCAGGCATTCCCAAAACACCAAGATAATAAGACAATGGAAGTGGAATACTAGCATCTATCTTGACATAGTTCTTTAAGAAGGCTTCTCCAGAAATCTTGACCTTCTGAATCTTTTGCCAATCGAAATAACCCAACAAGACATCACCTTCCTTGAAGTTTTCATGATTGGATTTCAATACTTTGGCAACACCTCCACCATTGATTGGTTTACCAATTTCGAAAGCTGGGAAATATCCTTTTGGAACATTCTTTGACATTCTTCCTCTCATGTATGGATCAACACCTATTGCAATTATTATAAAGAATATGTTGATGAATAAAAACAGTTGAAGTTAATGATGATGGTCAATTGATGGTCATGATTGCAACAACTTACTCAAATGCAACAATTCAACAAGAATTTCATCTGCTTGCAAGGTGGAATCAATTTCAAGTGCTGCATTGTAGGTAAAATCAGATTCCTTGACGAGTCCTTCCGGATAGGAGGAATAAATAAGAGTTTGAGTGGTAATGGTGTTGGACATGTTTTGAATTTTTGTTTGTTTTTGTTTTCTTCAATTCGGAATTATTAATTGCTCTATTTGAAGTAATTTACCAAGAACACACTTGTCCAGAATCGTTAGCTGGAATGTTGGCTAATGGTTACAAGGTGCGTGCGCTATTTTTCAAAGCAAGGACGTACAGTAAATGAAAATTAAGGTCAATTCGGATAGATTTCGCATCGCTAAGAAAACCGTACATGTTTATGACTGTAGAGCTAATGGAGATGGATTAATTTAGAAATTGGCGCCAACTTTTGAAATAATTTAAACATTGCAGGTATTACAGTTTAATTTTAACGGTCATCAATAGGTGTAAAACATATCCTTGTCGTGAAGCTGGAAGACTAGCGTCTTGTTAGCCAAGGAAATATTAAAGAATAAGTAGTTCAGTAGCCAGTTGTAAATTCTATTCGATTTTGTATTAATTCTTTACACTTGTCTGAAATTGCAACATTTCTGTTGATTTTATTGTGAACATGGAGCCCTTAAGAGGAATTTGGGAAATACCTTGATTTCTTTCATGTCACATTTCAACACAATATGGCATCAAACAGTGAGGCATGAAATCCAGATTTTAAGCTGGTTGGACTCAATCCACACACCAACTAAAAAAACTTCAAAACATGCCAACAACATCAACTCCTCACAAACGATATTCCACCTCCTTGATTTCTACTGAACTATTTCTTCTAACGATTGCTTGTTTCATTATTCTTCTTTGCTTCACATGCAATACAATTGCC